TGGACTTAACTTGAGTCGGATGGGGAGAAGGGGTGGTGGTAGGGGGAAGGGAAGGCTTCAGCGCCTCTTTTTGGCAGGAGGAGGAAGTTTCAAGGGGGCAGGAGCAGGGGAGGGGAAAGATTGAGAAGAGACTTGACTTGCAACTTGGAGTAAAGGACTTAAACACATCACTGTTACATATCTCCACATTGTCATTCTTGGCCTAGTGTCCATATGTTCCAGCCTAGAAAGAGTGGATGTGATTGCATGCAAAGACCTATTCAGGCACTAGATAATCCATGTTTAATCCTGTGAGAAGGCCAAGCAGCCTTTGTCGTCCTTCTCACTGCCCTGTATCTCTGTAGAGGGACATGAACCTCCTATCCACGAGCTTTCTACAAAACCCAGAACACAGCTTAACCAGCATTCTGCTTTGTGAGACAGCCCACAGATAGAGGGGGCACTCCAGATAGTCACCCTCCGCATGAACAGGGCAACAAGAGTCATGGAGAAAGGCAGGGCTGGTGCTTTCTCCTTCCTTGAACTTTTAAACAACTCTTTACTGAGCACATGAATGCTTCAAGAGGCTTTGTTCGCCAACGGTGATCTTGTCATGTGAATCAATCTGATAGGCTGTGTGACCCCAAGATACAGCGCTCTGTCTAGGAACAGGAAGACCCAACAAGCTGTAGAAAGGGCAAGCATTAGCATCTAATAGGCACAAGTAGCCATAGCGAAGGGAAGGGAAGCATGTAAGATAACTAAAGAAATAGTTCAGTCTACTGAAAGCTCTAATTTGGCCTGGACATTGAAAATGATGATCACTTGTGGAGACCCTAACAGAATTTAACTGATTTTATTTTCTTAAGTAAAAGTACATGAATTTTAAAATTATGAATACCATCCCCATTAATCATTCTGCTTCATACACATTGCCTTTCTTGATAATGTTTTTTTTTTAATTATGGATCAAGTTCTTTTTTCTTAACAACAGATTTTAAAGAAGAGAATGGGGGAAATGATTGAAGGCTGTTTCCTGTGGCAATTACACAATGGATTGTTCTTAGATACCATTTTTCTCTTGGGTAGGGAGGGAAAAGAAACTAAATTCTCATGGTCTCTGGGTCAGTATATGATGCACTTCTATGGGAACAATTTCTACTTGCATCTTTCCAAAGTCATACTCACTCCTGGGAGGATTAGGATAATTCAGTTTGTTTGCAATTTCTGATCATTTATTTAGTTTCCCAATGAGAGGCAGTAACATTTTGTTTGCTATTTTGAAAATGGAGGTTTTCCACAGAGGCTTGACAAGTGAGATCTAGAAAGATTGGAGCTAGCTATCATCAACAAATGTTGAAGATTGTCTTAGGGGTATTGAAAATGGAATTGTATTTAAAGAAATTAAGGAATATGAGAATGACATTAGGAAAAGGAAGCAAGAAAGAAAATGCTGCATCTATTTGCATGGACGGTTGAATTGTAAGCTGGTTCTGCACAGCAATCTTCCAGTGCCTATATCTGAACAGAAATTCAATATTTCTGTTAGTATTTAGGTGACAAAGTTGTGTTTGAGCAAGTGTTAGCTCTAGTAACATGGGATATATTTGTAGTCACAAGTTTATACTGATATTCTAATAATGAATCCTATGCACAGTTGGAGTGCAGTCTTATACTGTATACGTCCACTCAGAAATAACCCCACTCTAATAGCTGAGGCTTGACCCTAACCCTTTAAAATACGCACTTAGAAACATATGTATATCCACATGGTAAGTGACAGTACAGGTGCTTATCAATGTACTACAGACATATGTATATCAGTGCATAATGGGGTACCAGCAGAATTCCATTTCAGCCACATAAAGTCTTTTTCAAGGTTTCTTCCACGTTTCATAAAATGGTAAATTCTTTGAATTATTTTGCTTGTTGAACAGTGCATGTGATGTTGCTAAGTCTACACCTTGTTGTTCATTGGATGATAAGAATTGTTTCAATTATCAAAGTAGCTCTCCAAAAATATTTGAACTTCCACTACACATTCCTCTAGATTAGTGAAAATTATATGCTTACTGAAATATGTATATTTAGACCTGACAATGCCTCGTTCAAAGTTCTATAGAAATAATATTTCTAAGGATTTAGAATTTTATGACACATGAAAAAGACTGTGTCATCAAAACAGAATTATAGCTTGTTGATTGATTGAGACTGAGATTTAATCTTTCTCTCTCTCTCTCTCTCTGTGTACATAGGCAACTGTATATTAACACTTACTGTACTGTATACATAGATATTTGTAAATGTGTGTTTTAAAACACTTAGTAAATTCTGCTGTGGGTATGCATATTTGATTTTGCTCTGTTTTGCACTTGTGAATCCCTTAATTGCTGTCTAGATGTGTATATCATGTCATGAACATTGTCCACAAAGAAAGATAAGGTCACATGTGCCTTTTTTGGAGGGGGGACCCCCAAACCATAAAGGCTGCTGCTGCAAAAAGTTCCCTGAAGCGATTTGTTTGAAATCAGCATGTTTGATCTCTTCAGATTGGCAGCTGTCTCTATGCTTTTCTTCAAATTCTGTTAAGACCTGAAAAAAAAAAAGGGTGGGGGTTGACAGGTCCATTGTCTCAAAGAAAAAAAAATCCAGTTTTAAGGGCATGTTACACATGTACCTGCTTCAGCAGGCATAATCCCTTCATATGGAAGTCCTGTGACTGGAAATTTTATCCCATGCTGATAAAAGAATAAAAATATGCGAACATTTGTGGAATTCAAGATTTGGACTTGCACCTGAGTCAGAGTAGAGAGTGTCTGAATTGCACAAGCCAAACTGGGCTGTTTTCCAAATGGCTAAATCAGGGCCCATATCAAGTCTCGTGATCAGGCTATACCCCTAAGTGCACCCACAGGCAAGGTAAATGCAGTAGCAGTGGGGAAGGAATGCCAGCTGCATGAACATCATGAGCTACTAAATACTTTAAGTGCCGCAGCAGTGGCAGCAGCAAGGAAGCATTAAAGCCCCCAGTGAAGATATGCAGTTACACTGATAACAAATGCAGGAGATGAATTTCTGCCATAGTAAGGCTGAAGAAAATTTCAGGGAGGATATGGGCATTACCAAGAAGGCATCACACTATTCCTTCAGGATGAAGAACATTATTCACACTTCCTGTAACCAAATAGAAATGATCCTGACTTTAGAGATATTTGCATAATTACTTTGCCCCTCAGTCCTATCAGATATCCCTGCTATTTTTGGCTGCTTATGAACATGATTTAGAGTTTTCCTATCTTGATTGAGGAAGAGCCTGTGTAGAAAACTGCAAAAAAGAGAAACACTTCCAGCTAATAACAGGGTAGTCATAATTAATGAGGACATGGTGTCGAAGCTTGCAATCTATATAACATGACCTGCACAGAAAAAGCAAAAGAGTTGTGCCTTCAGTACAAAAGCCAATGCTATTTTTGTCTGATATTTATTTATATCAGGCAACTAGATTTTGCAAACCTAAACTAAAAAGCAGGGCATACAAAAAGCATGGAAAGGGTGCTGTTCAGACTCATTGATGTTCTCCAAATTTCCACCTGATCCTGTTCAGGTTCTTAAATGGGATTCTCACCCACCTCCAGACACCAAGCAGGGAGAAAAGCACGGTTTAGACCAGAATAAATATGTATTTCTGCATTTTTCCAGTCAAAAATACATATGAATTCCAATAGACCAAAATGTGAACTTGCAGATTTGGGGGCTTGAGGTGAATTATTTTATTTATTTGTTCATTTAATTTCCATATCTCCCAACAGTCAATTTTCCATTTCAAACATGCTGGTATGGCAGTACACCAGGATAGAGAATCTACCTTTTTTAGTAGCCATAAAATCATAATAGGTCATGGGCCGTGGGCAATACTAGGGAAAAACCAATACTAGGGGAAAAACAACAACAGTGATGGCAGTGATGGTTTTTGTAGTCTATATTGTCAGACATGGTGTTAATCAATTGGTGCAAAGTATTTGTATTTACAAAACTTTTGACTGCTGAATCAAACTTATAGTCTACTTAGCCCACTACCCTTTACTTGAACTGACATGTGATACCAGAATATCAGAAAGGGCCCTGCTACAGAAGGCAAATTATACAGTCCTGTATGCCCTGTACAACCAGTAAATCCCCTGGACCCCACAGGACTAGTTTCTGATCAAACATGCATGGGTTTGTGCCATAAGGTTGCCCACCTGTGCATGCTTCCTAGTCTTGTTGAAATCAGTTGGCCACCTTTTCAGTAAGCATGAGCCCCTCTAAGGTGTCTATCATTGCTCGACTGTCCCAAATTTACTCCCATATATCTTAGTCCCCAGTGCACTAGTTCAGCGAAATCAGAAATAACTAGATGTACCTATGTTAGCAGCTCATCAGGCAACTTCGGCCTGTTGGCCAAAACCCCTTCAAAATAAATGTTAGAAACAATATTTGTTTTGCTATTTTTCCATCTTTTTTTTTAACTCTAGGCAATTCCAGCCTTATCTTGTCTGTTATCCTTGATGGATAAAATGCAAAAGCTTTCCTGAAACTGTGTGCAACTAATCAATTCTCCACCAGTTCTTGGTGATCCAGATGAATGCCCGAGAATATGTTTTCCAATCAGGAGAGGAATGGCTTTAACAAGAATTTGGCAATCAGCAGTAATAAGTGGTATTGGTCTGCCTACAGCTGCCACCGAAGATTTCTTGTTTACTTTTTCAAGAATCATTGTAATTAATGTCTCTCTCATTTCTCTGGTGAGACAGCTCTTATTGAAGGCTCCTTGAAATGTCTCTCGCATGCAATGGACCTCAGCAGATTCTAGAAGGATTTACTAAAGCTTGCAAATCCCAAAGTTTAAGACTTCTTCACTTCCAAATTACTTTTTGTCTTTAATTATGCAAAACTCCCCTATCATGAAACTGCAAAGCCCTTTCTTCAAAAGCCTCGACTATTCCTCAGTTGCCCCCTTGTTTAACTATGCCACATTGCAGGTGTCTGCGATCCTGTGTGTATGAATGGAGGGAGATGCATCAGTCCTGATGTTTGCGACTGCCCATCTGGCTGGAAAGGAAAGCGCTGCAGTAAACGTGAGTCTGAGCTGCTTCCCATGCAGAGATGCTATTTGTTCATCACTCCCACCTGACAGCATAAATTGTAATCCTTTTTAATGCTGGCAAGCCATATAGCAAATGATCCAGTTCTGCTGCTTCTGGACTTCGAGGAGAAATCAGTTTTATATATTGGTAATACAAATTGATATAAACACTTCATGCATCTGAACATAAAGATTACATTTATAAAACCTTTTTCTATCTCATGCAGCTGTCTGTTATGCTGTTTTTCCCTTTTCTTTTACAGATATTCATTTTTTCATAGGTTAACTGTGAAGTATTGATTTTTGGTTTTAGCAACTACACATATTTTGTTATATTTTACAGAGAAAGTGACATATTTTTAATACAAAGCAACTTAAAGCTTGTCGTAAACACTGTTCCATGCTGATATATGTTCAAGGTCATTACAGGCATATGCATCCAGTGCACAATTTCTGAGACTGATCTTTACGTATTTGTGTTTATGGGTGTATTTTTACACTATTAAGCCTAGCCACATTTGACTTTGGTTTGCATTAAAAGTATAGTTCAGGTGAGTCATCCAATTTGAAAATGTGTGTGGAAATGCTTACATGGTAAGTCATTATTATGTTGCTGGCAGATTAGCAAAAACAATTTAAAATCAAGATAATACACTGTACATCAGACTTATTACTATATTGGCTTGATGCCACAGCTGTTTTGTTGATATGACTCAAGATGCAGCATGCATTTCATTCCAGCATAATTGCTAAAGTACAACATTAGTGCTACTTCTCAGGTTCTCTGTAATGTGTGCCCAGTTAAGGACTGTGCTCAGTTGACAAAGAACATCACTCAACCATTTCACCCACCCTGAAATTGTCTGGTTTTACTGGCTACTTTTCAGGGATGAGGTGACATTCTCTTGTGGGTAGGTAAGAGAATCAGACCAGCCACCATTGTATTCCCAGAAAGTCTCATTCTGCTATGCTTTCTGAATTTGGGGAAAGTAAAAATAGCTCCTAGCATTAAAAACCGCCATCCTTTTTTGCCACCCATTGAGGACCACCATTATAGTGAACAGCACGTGGCAATCTACAGAAATGCACATATTTATGCAGAATGGACAGATGATTCATCCAGCAACTAATTTTATACAAGAAATGGGGTGTTAACTCTCCAAAGCAATAGTAGTAATTTTAGGAGGCTTACAATAATATAAAGTCACAGTATACCATGACCCTAATTCTAAACTTGAAGTTTAATCTGGAGTAGCCAAGCAAGTCTGAGGCCACACAGATAGGACCAAACATGGCAGCCCTTTGCCTTCAGCTCCTAACCTCACCAAGTTGTATATAAAGGCTGCAGTTGGCTTCTACTGGGAGTCAAGGGGTTTATGAAAAGGACTGTACTGATGCAAAGGGTTTTGTTGTTGTTTAGTCGCAGAGTCATGCCCAACCCATCGTGACCCCCTGGACAACATTCCTCCAGGCCTTCCTGTCCTCCACCATCCCCCGGAGTCCACTTAAGCTCACACCAAATGCTTCAGTGACTCCATCCAGCCACCTCATCCTCTGCTGTCCCCTTCTTCTTTGCCCTCGATCGTTCCCAGCATCAGGGGCTTCTCCAATGTGTTGTTTAGGTGGCCAAAGTATTTGAGTTTCATCTTCAGTATCTGGCCTTCTAAAGAGCAGTCAGGGTTGATCTCCTTTAAGATTGGCTGGTTTAATCTCCTTGCAGCAAAGGGTTTGGCTAGCATGCAAGTCAACACAAACAGACTATAAGAAGGCTGGGACTGAGTGGACCAGGCCTGCATATGAGAGGACATTGGAGGCAGGGCTGGTATAGATGTATGTTTACCCTACTGTTGTATAATGCCTGAATAGCACTATTGTCCCCTTCTGATTGTTGGAGCTGGGCAACTATATACAGGACTTTAGAGACACACCTAGAGCCCCTGTCTGTTACACTACTGAAGTCTTTTTATAGCCAAGTTTAGTTCCCATCTAGGTAAACGAAAATCAGGCAAGGAGAACCTCCCCTCTTCCAATTTCACTGCAGTTTTAACTCGTCTATCTCTAGTAAGCAATCATTTGCATGTCAAAGGATAGCAGAAAGACTGAGTATGCTACACAGCAGGAAACGGGAGCATTCAATATTTGAAACATGAAAAACCCCATTATGATTAGTGAAACCACCATTATCATAATTAGTTGCTACACTTGTCAGAGCTCATCTGTTCATAATGCTCACCTTTGTAGCAACCTAATTCAATGAGATACAAATTCACTGTTAAGTATGGCATTGCTTGCAAGCTTTGGAGCATGTGCACCCTGAATCTAAATAATGCTATTTCTGTACATGTGCTGATTTGGTGGATTTAATCTTCGCATGCTTTGGTGTAGCCACTGCTGCATATCTCTTCCTTGTTAATATCACAGTTCTGAGCCCCAAAGAGAAGGACAGCTTTGCAAGCCAGCATCTTCTTGCCTCCATTTACCAACGATCAGTGGATAACCAAGGCGTCACAAATGCAGGCCACAGGAAAACAACCGAACAGGAAGGGGGTACATGCATGGTGATGCATTACATCATGTTGAACTATGTGATTTCAAGCTACAGTTCCCAAGATGCACTTTGATATTGCACACGAACAGAAATTATATGCATGGGATGAAATCTAATATTAAAAGGACACTCACCCAAATTCATATGGATAGTTAGTTTCTAAATAAACAATTTCACTCACACATAACAAACTTACAAAACTTATATTTTGGAAATCTCGTACCATGAAAAGAAATATAACCCCCCCCCCCCGCTTTTTTTAAATGAGGCTCATGGTAGATCAGCCGCCATCCCAGAAAACTCAGCAACTTCTAATGTGATGCCCTCTTCATTGGTGTGATCTGCACACCATTAATTATTTCCTCCTCAGCCCAAAGATCCTTTAATTATTCAAGCTGATTCATGAAGATAAGTCTTCCCTGTGATCGGCTCCCTTGAGTTCTCGTCTCACCTTCACCACATCCCTTTAAGCAGCCCATTGATATAACCATATGTACGTGTTCTAGCCATGGCTGCTTCCCTGGCAATGATTTGTTGATGCTCCCTCAGCCCAGGAAAGGGGTAAATACTTGGTTGAATAGAGTCAGTCCCTGTTTACATAGTAGCAGAGCCTATGCAAATTACATTTAAAAATCTTAAGCAAGTTTCCTGCCCTGAATGGTGCATCCAGATTGTTTACAATAGTGCTATTCCCACTCAATACCCTTTAAAGGGCACAGATCTGATTAAAAGATCATTAAATATCTACATGTTTAGTCTGAAAGAAAAGGGTTACTGAGTAATCACACCAATCCATCAGTTAAGGCCTACAGTGCTAATAGAAAATGAAATTTTAATGGCTGGGGAATCTGTCTTTGGAGCAAATCTGTGATGAAACTAGAAGTCAGACTAACCGAGATTAAGGGGAACTTTCTAATCACAGAAATTCTACAATGCTAATTGCCTCATAAAGAATACTCATTAAGCTCTTTGGAGATTCAACCGTTCCGAAAGAAATTGCAGGGAGCTAACACATGACATGTCACTTACTGAAAGGGCTTACAAACTCACGGGGGCATCCTGCTGATCTTCTCATATATCTCCCTTCACTTTCTTTTCAGCGGTCTGCCTGCCCAGCTGCTTGAACGGTGGCGAATGCCTAGGACCCAACGTCTGCCAGTGCTTGCAAGGCTGGGTGGGCCCCCTGTGCCAGATTCGTGAGTAGTTTTACATTTAGGACAGAGCTGTGTGTTCTGCTGGATTTTTCTCTCTGCAAAGAATACAACAGGTCCACAACACCCATGGATTTCACTTGGTCCACCATTTTAAGTGAACCAGCCAGGTTCTTGGGTCTGTTGGCTGTTGATTTTCATACTTGATTTCCAATGTTGTGGTACCATTCTTGGCTCAAAGGGGCACACCGCATGTGTACAAAAGTATATCCAAAATTCATGTTTTAGGGTAAAATGAATACAAGGGGCATGTTTTGTGAATAAGTGTTCAAAAATGCAGAGATGGGTCAGAATAGATTTCCAAATGAGTATATAGAAAACTGACACAGATTTATTCCAATTATTGATTAAAGGAGCTGAAGATAAGGTAAGCAGCAGGGACTCTGAAAGGCTAATGAAGGAGAGAGGCATGAACCGTCCCAGAACTGATTAAAACCCTCACCATATGCTGCCAAGTGCCTGAGAGGAGAGGATGGTCTTAGGCTGATGCCAAAAAGATAACTGTGCCAGGGCCAGGATCTGCATTTTAGATTTGCATAACAAATAGTAAGAAATCTGCTCTCCTTGCTGTAGGGTATGTAGGTTTACACAGAAATAGGTATTTCTTAACTGAATGACCTTCCTGCCAGGTAAGTGTACCTGCTCTAACAGCTATGGCAGGAATTCCTCCATGGCCACTTTAATGTACACAGGGCAAGTGTTGCTCTTTCCTCCTGGAACATCCTTTCCTCACAGAAGTCAAATCTTGTAAAACGAGCCTGACATTTTTCATACTGGACAGGAAAATACCACACACACAATTTAATCCCATTTTCAATTCATTCAGGAATAAGTTACACAGAGAAATAATGATCTTCTATAGATGTGCCATAACACTTCTGTTAGAAACAAATGGCAGATTGCTAATAACAGTATCAACACTTATGACCACCTGCTAACTCCCTGTGAGGTATCTGATTTTGCCTTGATGTTTCCTTCTGTCGTGTGACACTGTCCCTCCTCTCTCTCTCTCTCTCTCTCTTCCTCATGCACATGTACACATACTGAACCAAACATTATCTTAGCCCCTTTTATTTATTTATTTTACTTTATTTAAAAGATTTATATGTCATCCTTTACAACAACATCTCAGGACAGCTTACAACATTTAAGTATTCCACAAGATACCCAACTGAAACCAAGTCAGTATACTCTCTCTCTCTCTCTCTCTCTCTATATATATATATATGTGTGTGTGTGTGTGTGTGTGTGTGTGTGTATGTATGTATAAACTGCTTTTTCCAGTAACAGATCACTCAAAGTCTAAAGTGTCTTTGAATAAACCAAGGTCAGCAAAAGGGTGATTCATTCCAACCAGTCTTATTTATTTCAATAGACATTTACTCTGCAGCTGAAAAGAAATTACAGTTTCAACAATGTAAATTGTTTTAGCTTGGCATCATCAATAAAGGTTTTCATTTTGTATCAGTAATTTTTGTTACTTGCTTACTTATCAGATTTATATACCACCCAACTCTCAAATGCTCTCATGACATTAACAAATGGAACAATCCGTATAAGGTAAAGAAACCTTAAATGTTAGAGAGAGAAGAAGGAATATATGTTGCTTAAAGTGTTTGCTGAATGGGTCCATGTGGTCTAAAAATAATAAAGATAAATGAATTAGTGTCAGTCCCTAATTGACCCCTTGACCCTTGGAAGCCCCGAAACTCAGAGATTTCTGAGTGGTCTGTGTTCTTACAGACTGAAGCCGGCAGGACAAGAAGAAAGGTAGGAGTGATCTTGACTCCCCATCCTCTGATCGCCTGTATTTTTGCCACTTGTGCTTTTCAGTCGATCTACAAGGATGCTTTGGGATGGGAGGGAATTGTCCCCTGTATTGTTCTCAAGACGGTATCTAAGAGCTGTTGCAGCAGGACGTGGCAAAGCATCACTGTGGCAGCATTACTGGTGTGGATCCTTATTCTTTTGAGGACTGACATGGGGATCCTCATACGGTATGCAGCTAGTGCAAGCACTGCTTCATTTTCTTGGACGTACCCGATGAATTAACTAGGAAAAAATGAGTGGAGACTGTAATACTGGAGGATTCCCATAACTGACCTCACTGACATTTATACAGATTACCTGTTCTAATGTAATATTATTGAACACCTGCTAACACTCTTGTTCGTTGCTCATGAGTATATTTTATTCACATGTCAAACCAGTAGCCTCATCATTTCCCAAAACTCTTGTTCCTTCATTCTCCCTCTTCTCCATGCTTGTTCCTATTTGATCCATACAAGAAAATTAATTTCTCAACAAACATGACCATTTGCATGAACATTAATGCTCCATTATTTTTAGCACACAGGGATAAATTCTTTTTTGTATGGGACACATATTGATAATAATTTCCAGCTTGGCTTATGAAACAGCATTTCTTGCCAAGACTGTGGAGGACAATGTCTGTGGCATTGTTAATGGTTAGCAGTTTAGTGCTCTTTGTAAATACATTTATGAAATATTCATTCTAACTTCAGTTATATTATCATGATATTCATTCCAATGTTCCTCTGAAAAGTTTTAACTCTTCTTCCAATAGTATATGCAGCAGAATGGGAGTACTGGGGAATTTTCTAGTTTTCCCTTAACATAGGATTTCTGATTAGATCATCCAATCTCCCCACCATAATGCATTTATTTACTCTTGCTTATGTATTGCCTGCAATGGGGTTTCTCCTGGTCCATTTTTCTCTATCCAATAGCTTCCATCTCAAAGTTCTATTATATTACTTCCGCAAAGCTACCAATGGCTACAACCTCTGCAAATGTATATTGCTACACAACTGGGTTGCCGTATTTCATATTGAGTAGAGCTTCTACATCTTTTAGAATTCTTAAGTGGAACACACAATTCTCAGTTTTCCCTGAGTTTGCATCACTGTAATGGTCCAAGTTGCACCTGTTGCCTTCTGCCTTTCACAGGGTGTTATGAAACTGAACCTTATGCCAGGAACAGCATGGCAATCTGTGAAGCAGCAAGCCAGCAATCAGTGTAGTCAGAATACATGGGAACACAGAAACACAGAAACAGAGCAAGTCAGAAGGGGTCTCCCAGGCCATCTAGTCTGACCTCTGGCTCCAGCCGGCTCTGCTCACGACAGGCCCACCATGTGCATGTCTAGCCTATCTTTGAACACCCTCACTGATGGGGCTTTAACCACCTCCTGTGGAAGCCCATTCCACACCCTCGGGATCCTAACTGTCAGGAAGTACTTCCTGGCATCCAAATTGAACCTTGGTTCCCTGAGCTTGGCTCTGTTGGAGTGCAGAGGAGAACAGGTCTCTGTGCACCTCCATGTGACACCCCCTCATGTGCCTATATGTTGCCAACAGATCCCCTCGGAGTCTCCTCTTCTCCAGTCTGAAGAGACCTAGTTCCCTCAGTCTTGCCCCATACAGCTTCCCCTGTAATCCGGCCACAATCCTTGTGGCCCTGTACAACTTGCTGGATATGGCCAACATTTCCCTTAGTGTGAACAGTCATTAGTGATGAAAAAGGTACAAGTCAGCAATGATGGAGAAAGCCATTCCACGTGTGTGAACACATATTCCTGTGCTTCTGTGCTTCTTAATATAACAAAACTGTTTTTAACTATGATCATTGAAAGCCTTTGGTTGATTAAACATTAATAAATATTTTGAAACCTCTGAAAGGCATGTAACTTATTCAGTAGTACTCAGCTGCCCATTTTTTATATTACTGGGATCAGCCCAGTGAGTCTGATGCCTTATGCAGAGAAGTGGGGTATTGTGTGCTCTCGCCCCACTGTCATGGCCAGGAGGATTGACTTCTGCAAGCCACCCATGTCAGCATCCTTACAGGTGTTCTCTAGGGCAGCCTTCCCCAACCTGGTGGCCTTCAGAGACATTTGGACTGCAACTCCCAGAACTCCCATCCAGGAGGGCCATTGACCAGGAATTCTGGGTGTTGTGGTCCAAACATGTACAGAAGGCACAAAGTTGGGGAAGGCTCTAGGACACCCTTCCCACAGTGTCTGGCAGTAAAGATAGAGCCAGACATTTGAACCTGGCTATCTCTCCAAAAAACCAGTTGATTTTCTGGCTGATTTAGCCAGATCTCAGCTCCACAATACCATTCACACTGAGCAGATAAGTTGTGGCAAAAAGAGGGGTATGCAGCTAAGGGAACAGGCAGATGTGATGAGCTTTTGGCTGGGAGTAGGTGGAGGGCGACACTGCAAAAAGAGGGAGTGGGCAGGGTGAGCAGGTAGGGAGCTCTGATGGCAGTGGGGGAATACGGGCTGCACATGCCTCATCATATGGTGCTTCCATGGTTCAAGTGAGAAACCTTCCAGTGCACAACACATGGTTCAGCACTGCCTCCATGTGGAGAAAAGCAGTAACTAGACCTGCATGGGATTGCACTGTCAAGACGAGTAAGCCTATGGTTAGAGTCCTCTAGCTGGACTCAGCTGCATTTCTTTGGGCTGGCTAATGCCCATTATGTACTGGCTCCTACTCTCCCCAGGGGCAGCAGTTCACACAGGTGCTACACAGACTAAGCAGCTGGTTTGCAATGGAACTAAGTGGCAGAAAAGGTTGCATATCTCCAGCATAGCTCCCTCTTCCTTCCTGTTCAGCCGTAGTGCTCGAGAGGTGTGTTCTTTTCCTAGAATCTGGACATGGCCCATATCCCATGCTTACACACCCACAAAGCTACTTGGCATCCTAGTGTGAGCAAACTACATGCTGGGACATGGAATGTTTCACAGATCCAGTGGGCAACGTGTCCATCAGATGGTCATTCCTGAGCAGCAAATCAGGAAAAAGGTAGCCCATATTATGCCTTCCTCTTTTCCTTTCCTTGCTCACCAAGAAGCTTGCACTTTCCAGGTTCTTCTATTGAGGGACCTTCTTCCCTCTTTCATCAGCATATAGAGGTAATGGAGCATAACCACTGAGAGCAACTGCATTAC